TTGTGACAACCGGAGAAAATGGAAATCCCGGTTAAAGAGGAGAGAATTTCCTCATCCTCTGCCGGAAAACCACCACAGACCATCGCCGCCTTACCAGCTGACGACGCCGTTGATAGTGGTCCATCTTCTCCGCTTCTACTCAAAGTCTCAGTCTTCGAAACAGAGCATGAACCCACCAAGCTTCACCACGCGCCTTCAACTTTGCTCGGAAAATCCACCGATGACGGCGATTTTCCTCCCATTCAAAGCTTTAGAGATGCCAAGTTCGTCTGTATGGTCGAATCTTCTAAGCTTTGGGAAATCGCTGCACCGATAGCTTTCAACATTCTTTGTAACTACGGAGTTAACTCCTTCACAAGCATCTTCGTTGGCCATATCGGCGATCTCGAGCTCTCTGCTGTCGCCATCGCTCTTTCCGTCGTCTCCAACTTCTCCTTCGGTTTCTTGGTAATGATCCATTAGCCTTCTTCTCCTCTGTTTCTTGCGTTTTCTCTTAACGTTTCAAGAAAAAAAAATGTAGCTAGGAATGGCGAGTGCGTTGGAAACGCTATGCGGACAAGCGTTTGGAGCGGGACAAACGGATATGTTGGGCGTTTATATGCAGCGTTCTTGGCTTATACTCATTGGAACTTCTTTCTGCTTGCTTCCACTCTACATCTACGCAACTCCTCTTCTCATTTTACTCGGCCAAGAACCCGAAATCGCAGAAATATCTGGCAAATTCACTACGCAAATCATCCCTCAAATGTTTGCGCTCGCGATCAATTTCCCGACTCAGAAGTTTCTCCAGTCACAGAGCAGAGTCGGGATCATGGCGTGGATCGGTTTCGTGGCTTTGACCCTTCACATTTTCATCCTCTACCTCTTTATAAACGTTTTCAAGTGGGGGCTAAACGGTGCAGCGGCTGCGTTTGATGTCTCGGCTTGGGGAATCGCGATTGCGCAGGTTGTTTATGTTGTTGGTTGGTGTAAAGAAGGTTGGCACGGGCTTTCTTGGTTAGCGTTTAAAGACGTTTGGCCGTTTTTGAAGCTGTCAATTGCGTCTGCGGTTATGCTTTGTCTTGAGATTTGGTACTTCATGACCATCATTGTCTTAACCGGACATCTTGAAGACCCTGTCATAGCCGTTGGATCTCTCTCAATCTGGTTAGCCATCGGTTTAATCTCTTCAAGATTTTACGTTTTTGCTGATTTCTGATAACATTTCTCTTCTTTTCTCAGTATGAACATTAATGGATGGGAAGGAATGTTGTTCATAGGAATCAATGCAGCTATAAGGTAGGTCAAAAAAACACCAAAGCAATCTTTTTGTTTTCTGTATAAAGAGAAATGAATAGGTTTACGCGATATGTTTCTTCAGTGTAAGGGTGTCGAATGAGCTGGGATCGGGACATCCACGAGCTGCGAAATACTCGGTGATGGTAACAGTGATCGAGTCTCTCATCATTGGAGTATTGTGTGCAATTGTAATCCTCATAACACGAGATGATTTCGCCGTGATTTTTACGGAGAGCGAACAGATGAGAAAGGCGGTAGCTGATCTAGCTTACCTCCTCGGAATAACGATGATTCTCAACAGTTTACAACCGGTGATATCTGGTAATTAATCAAGAATTATGTTGAGTTTAAAAACAAAACACCCTAGCTAATGATTCTAGAGAAGTTGATGTCGTTGAAATGAGCAGGTGTTGCTGTAGGAGGAGGATGGCAAGCATCGGTGGCTTATATCAACTTGTTTTGTTACTATGTGATTGGTTTGCCTCTTGGGTTTGTTCTAGGTTACAAAACAGGACTTGGCGTGCAGGTAAAGCAATGCACTAGCTACTTAACTAACCGGTCTTGTTTTTATTTAGTTACATGGTTGGTTTTGGATGGAATTAATTTGAATGGTTTTTCAGGGGATTTGGATTGGTATGATATGTGGGACTACTCTTCAGACTCTGGTCCTTGTGTACATGATTTACATAACCAATTGGACCAAAGAGGTAAAAGTAATCTCAATTTTTATCACCCAAATTAAAATACAAAGAGGTTTTGATTTGGTAATGAATAAAATAATAACTTGTTTATAAATTTCAGGTAGAACAAGCTTCGGAGAGAATGAAACAATGGGGAGCTGGATATGAGAAATTAGAAAAATAGTAATTTTTTTTTTTTTGCGTTAAACTTATATAGACATCTCACTTTCCTGCTGTATATATATATCAATTTTCGTTTCTTTTTTATTGCCATATTGTATATGCCAAATTTAATTTCTCATACATCTGTAATTGTTTTTTTGTTTTGCACACTTGTTTATAAATTTGGGTTAATTTAGCCAAAATATTAATAACTAGGGATCTAATAAAAATTAACATACGTGGCATAATTGTATCTATTAGACTTATGTTAAATGGTTAGATTTTTGATTACAGATTTTTTTTTGGTTATTCAACCCGATTTCCCTATAAAATTTTAACTTTTTTAACC